TAAATCCCAGAGTCCACATGCGTGAGATGACGGAGCTGCAGCCCGAGCAGCTGATTGTGATTGCTGATGTGGACCCGATCCTGGAGGTGTGCAGGAGAGGTGGAGTGCTCACGGTCATCTGAAGAGTTGCCAAGCAGCTGGTCTCCCTCTGGCCCACCTCTATAAACAACCATATAGTCCACTCCAAAACAATAACCCAACTCGATGGTGGCATCAGTTGCTCTGATCGCGGGATCTGGCTCCTCACTGTACACCTGATGAAGGAGAGAAAAAATGGAAATTTGGAAGAATACAAAGAGACCCATGTTGCTTCACACGCTGTGTTTATCACAGACTGAGAGTTGTGGCGACACTCAACCTCCTATAAAGCATTCACCTCGTGTTGTCACTTAAGTCCCGCCCTCGGGGAAAATGTCTGTCTTCCTCTTCGACATTCTTCTCCAGCAGAGTGCCGCCGAACATACCTGTAAACAAATATCCATGGTGGAATGCAGGAAGATACGTTTACACACACACACACACACACACACACACACACACACACACACACACACACACACACACACACACACACACACACACTTTATAATCATTTAGTAATAACGTCTAAAACAACCAGCTCTTCTGTGATCTCCATATTCTCGGCCAAGAAATACTTTCATGCAGTACATCAATACTGGCTATGTTGGATGATTGAATAACGAATACATTTTCCAGTCAAGTACACATTTCCATTGTGAGCAGTTAATATTCAACTTTTTATCTGTGACAAGTCAAGTCATGTGCAATTTAGCCAAATAAAGAAGTGGTGTCTCCTTTCATCAAGTGCAACCTTGAAGAACAGGTTCAACCCAAAGAGTTGTTACAACGACACTTTTGGGAACTTTTTATACTGTCACACAAGAAAGAGTAAATATTATTTCATGTTGACACAGTGAATGACTTATTTGATTTATGTTTCATGTTATTCATATTGTGGCATATGACTGCAGCGTACCGTATGGACAACTACTTGTGATGGTCGAATTACCTGATCCATCAAAACATATAGTGACCACTTCATCATGTGAATCATGATAAAAAGCTCTTTAGATCCAACAATCAAAAACAATTTGTATTTTTCTTGCAAGGGTATATAACTGTTTGTCCTTTGCATAACAAGGCTATATAGGAGAGACTATATATATTTTTTTTACCGAGTTCTCATGACCAGTTGCAGATTTGTGCTACAGCATTTTATTTACATTTTATTTTCTCCATCAGAGGATAGAAAGAGGATCAAAGTGTTTTTTTGTCCAAACAAGATGCCAGTTTACGTCCGACTTACAGCTGAAAGGTTCTGGGTTTGATCTTGGCTAAGGCCCTCCTGTGTGGAGACTGTGTGCTTTCGCTTTGCCTGTGTGGGCTTTCTCTGAATTTAAAAACATGCGTGTTAGGTTACTTGAAAATCCAAAATTGCCCTTCGGGCTGAGTGTGAATTCAAATGCTTGTTTGTCTCTATGTGCCCCGCGACCAGCCCAAGGTGTGCCTTTGGGATAAGCTCCAACTCACGCGCAAATGGATAGAAAATGGATGGATATGTTTCAATAGTTTTACTTGTGTTTCAAGCTATTTTTCCTAGCGGAGCAAGAGAAGCATTTCAGAAGTGAAGGGTTGATGGAGATTACGTGACTTTAAAGCTCGCATAGAGGCAATGAATCTGTTGACAGGTTGACTGCAAATGGGACGAGAGAGGATAGCACTGTTTACAGGCCCTCATCTTCCTTCATATCACTAAGAAAGTTGTTTCCCATGATTACCGGTAATTCAACTGAATCAATCGTAAAAATCAACTATGCGAGTATCCTGCGTTTATTGAAATGCCACATCTGTGCAGCCAACTCAGGCCTCTCAAGACGTAAAGCGTTCCAAAAAAAAAAAACAAAAAAAAAACAAAAACAAAACACTGACCTGTTTTCCTTTCAGGTAGTTCATCTGTTTACTTGTACATAATGAAGTCAGCTTCCCACTCAGCAGTAGCTACCGTGCTGCTGAGGGAACAGCTTGCAGAGTTGGTGATCAAGCATCATGATCAAGCACCAACTGTGAGAAAACTCTGCATGTGCTCCCACCAATTCAACTCAGGGCTGATTACCCAGGGTGTATTCATGGACACACAGGCTTCAGGCGCACCAGCTGCTGTTTGATATATGCTGTACATTTTTGCCTAAAATTATTGTTAGTCTTTTTTTTTTTTTACCAGAGCAGTATTGCTCAAATAAAAGGATAGGAAGTTGAAGAAAAAGAAATAAACAACACATAAAGGACTAATTCTACATGAGGTAATGTACTAATTCTCTTCAAAACAACAGAGCAAATGAGAGCAACAACAGGAAAATAAAGCATACAAAACAGTAAATAAAGCATACAAGTAGTAATAAATTCAATAGGAACATTTAATAAATGACGAAAAACCAAAGATAATAAAATCAATCCATCATTTTTCTATACTAGATTCAGGGGTCAAAACTACCATTAGTAAGCACAGGCAAAAATGTCAGAGATCCAAAGACCTCATGAACACGGATTGATGAAGTTTTATTTGAATTAAAGCAATTTTTACTGTTTTAGTCTTAACGCGCGCACTTCTTAACACATCAAAATCAGGATTGTTTCGAATAGCTTGCTTCCTTCTCATACAATGGAATGTTCAATTTCTTGCTTAGTATGTAAAGACTTGATTCAGAAAGACGACAGCAACAACACACTTGTTGGTGCGGTTGTGAGGACAATGAAGAGGCATTATCCTAATGGAGCAGAGAAGGCATGAGGAAAACAAATCGTTTTCATCAGAACTACCAAAGGTTTAATCCTTTTTCAGGGCTAAAGCCGGACTCCCTTGAAGTTACAGTAGCACTGCCATCAGTGTCAGCTTAGGAGGATACAGCAGAGATGAGAAGTGACACATTTCACACCAAAGATGTGACTATTCAAGCGGTGCAAATTGTAAACTATGTTTAATGTTGATTCATGTTCTTATCAATTTCAGCGATTTCTTATCAACACATTGAAATGATTCACTTGTTACATAATGATCAAGAAGGAGTTTAAGGACTTCAACTAGGTCAGGAATTTTCTCAAATTCACATATTTGAGATGATGATAAAGATTAATATATGGAATCTTGGTAATGCATGGAAGTGAAGGGCACCATTACTGGCTATGGTTTAAAAGCCCCCAAATGACTAAATATACCCCAGACTAGGATCACGGGTGAACTGGAGCCTATCCCAGTTTACTTTGAATGAGCGGCAGGGCTTATTTGATAAACAACCACTGACACTCATGTAGCTACCACAAGTGCAGCAAAACCCATTACCAGAGCAGTATTGCTCAAATAAAAGGATAGGAAGTTGAAGAAAAAGAAATAAACAACACATAAAGGACTAATTCTACATGAGGTAATGTACTAATTCTCTTCAAAACAACAGAGCAAATGAGAGCAACAACAGGAAAATAAAGCATACAAAACAGTAAATAAAGCATACAAGTAGTAATAAATTCAATAGGAACATTTAATAAATGACGAAAAACCAAAGATAATAAAATCAATCCATCATTTTTCTATACTAGATTCAGGGGTCAAAACTACCATTAGTAAGCACAGGCAAAAATGTCAGAGATCCAAAGACCTCATGAACACGGATTGATGAAGTTTTATTTGAATTAAAGCAATTTTTACTGTTTTAGTCTTAACGCGCGCACTTCTTAACACATCAAAATCAGGATTGTTTCGAATAGCTTGCTTCCTTCTCATACAATGGAATGTTCAATTTCTTGCTTAGTATGTAAAGACTTGATTCAGAAAGACGACAGCAACAACACACTTGTTGGTGCGGTTGTGAGGACAATGAAGAGGCATTATCCTAATGGAGCAGAGAAGGCATGAGGAAAACAAATCGTTTTCATCAGAACTACCAAAGGTTTAATCCTTTTTCAGGGCTAAAGCCGGACTCCCTTGAAGTTACAGTAGCACTGCCATCAGTGTCAGCTTAGGAGGATACAGCAGAGATGAGAAGTGACACATTTCACACCAAAGATGTGACTATTCAAGCGGTGCAAATTGTAAACTATGTTTAATGTTGATTCATGTTCTTATCAATTTCAGCGATTTCTTATCAACACATTGAAATGATTCACTTGTTACATAATGATCAAGAAGGAGTTTAAGGACTTCAACTAGGTCAGGAATTTTCTCAAATTCACATATTTGAGATGATGATAAAGATTAATATATGGAATCTTGGTAATGCATGGAAGTGAAGGGCACCATTACTGGCTATGGTTTAAAAGCCCCCAAATGACTAAATATACCCCAGACTAGGATCACGGGTGAACTGGAGCCTATCCCAGTTTACTTTGAATGAGCGGCAGGGCTTATTTGATAAACAACCACTGACACTCATGTAGCTACCACAAGTGCAGCAAAACCCATGCAAAACACGAGTGAGTGATGCGCTAGATGTTAATCAGTAGTAGTAGTATGCAGTTGATAAGTAATGCACAGTTTTCCTTACTAGTAACATGTAAGTTGTACTAGTATGCCGAAGTTTTCCAGTTGTGCGACAATTTTACATTGCCCATTGACATGGTTGCTCTGTTGGTGCAGTGTGCTGAATTGCCTGTACCCTGTTGGTGACAACAAACTCATACTAGTTCACAGAAAGGATATCGAATAAATTGTAAAACGGCTTTCCATTCCATACTAATAACTCAACCGGTGTTTTGCTGTACTCTATAACAATGTCTATTAGCATTATTGTTGGTGTTAAGGTGCTCTGTAAATAATAAAACTTGAGCGGAGTGGAGTTGAGCTTTTATCATTATTATTGTTATTTCAGTCGTATTCGGAGTACTGTAATGTTAGTAGCAGAAGTTAACAGTCGTAGTAGGATGAGTTTTGATTAGGTAGAATCAAATGTAACTGCAGAAATAGCAGTAGCCTGTAGTTGTCGTTCTTGGGTATGAAACGGAAGAGGTGCGAATAAATGTCGTAGAAGAAGAAACTGTTCCTTAATCAACGTCACATCCGCTGACCGCAGTTGAAGGTAATGTTCACTCTACTTATCCACACAACATAAGCGTTATTTTATACGGGAAGTCACGAAATTTGGGCTGTCATCACAGCGATATTTGTTTTGTTTTTTTGATGCGAAGTTCTAAGATCCGTGCGCTAACAATCTTAGCGTGTCATAAATAAATTAATACAGTACCGATCTTTCGTTGTGAATGAGTGCTTTGATTGATTGTTTTTTGACACTACACACCGCGTGTGCAAATTCTGAAATTAAAATAACAAAGGTTGGTTGTTTAATGCTGCACCACCGCCCTGAAACGATATCTGGCAACAACAGTTTTGAATTTCGCCGCGAAAAGAATATTTGATGAGACTTTAGATAAAGCTATTTCTATATAATGTTCAAGAGGAGACCCTTACCTATATGTAGAAAATTACAACCAATTAAAAGCAAGATTAACAAACGGCCATGAATGAATAAAGAAGTATATGTTAAAAATGAAAAGGCAGACGCAAAGCTAATAAAATGACTCACACAGACAAGAATGAAAAGGCAGAAGCAAAGCTAATTAAACGTCACTCACACACACACACACACACACACACACACACACACACACACACACACACACACACACACACACACAGTGTAATCATATATATTGTGTATAGTTTACAAAATACAAATATATCAGTTATCCGTATCGGTATCCGTAAAAGTATAGATTTTTAGCATTTTCGACATTTGTGACATACAGACCCTTACGGAACACCATATACACCATATGTTAAATATTTCTAACTAATGAGTCCGGTTACTTAAAAACCTTCCAATGCAATTGTTTGCTTGGCCCCTTATTATTTAATTTGCCCTTTTTAAGCTAAATATCATGATTTACAGTACTGAACAGTTTTTATTTAAATCAACAAATATCCCTGCTGTTGTGAATCATTAAAAAAAAAAAAATATATATATATATA